CTATTTTCAGAGTATTATAATTTTCCCTGAGTAGGTCTTTTACTTCCTTTGTTATACTGATTCCTAAGTAATTCATTTTTTTTGGATGCTATTGTGAAGAGTGTGGCTTCGCTTGTCTCTCAGTGAATTTGTTGTTTGTGTATAGGAATGCTGTTGATTTTCAAGTGTTGACTTTGTATCCAGCTATATTACTGAATTTATTTATTATGCCTAGGTGTCTTTCAATGGAGTTTTGGGGGTCTTCTATGTAGAGTATCATGTCATCTGCAAATAATGATAATTTAACTTCTTCTTTTCCTATCCTTATTCCTTTTATTTCTCTCTAGTCTAATAGCTCTGGCTAGTATTTCCAGCACTATATTGAATAGGAGTGATGATAATGGACATCCTTCTCTTGTTCCTGATTTTAGGGTAAAAGCTTTCCGTTTTTGGTTGTTTAATATGATGCTGGCTGTTGGTTTGTCATAGATGGCTTTTATCATATTGAGGTAAAGACCATGTATTCCTATTTTCTGTAAGGTTCTTACCATGAATGAGTGTTGGACATTAGCAAAAGCTTTTTTTTTGCATCTATAGAAATGATCATGTGATTCTTATTTTTGGTTTTATTGATGTGGTAGATTACATTGATTGATTTGCATATGTTGAAACATCCCTGCATTCCTGGGATGAATCCCACTTGATCATGGTGTATAATCTTCTTGATGATTTGCTGCATCCTGTTTGCCAATATTTTATTAAGAATTTTTGCATCTGTGTTCATTAAGGAGATTGGCCTGTAGTCCTCTTTTTTAGTTGGGTCTTTCTCAGGTTTTGGTACTAGAGTAATATTTGCTTCCAGGAATGACAGGAAGAATTGCTTCCTTTTCGATTTCATTAAAGAGTTTGAAGATTATCGGCATGAAGTCTTCTTTGTATTTCTTGTAAAATTCTGTAGTGAATCCATCTGGACCTGGGCTTTTCTTTGTTGATATGGTTTTAATTACATTTTCAATTTCATCAATTGAAATTGGGTTATTCAGCAGTTTTACATCTTCTTGATCCAGCTTTGGTACTTCATATGTTTCTAGGTCTGTGTCCATTTCTTCTGTGTTACCAAGCCTATGAGAGTAGAGGTTTTTGAAATAGGTGTTGATGATCTTCTGTATTTCCACAGGATCTGTAGTGATTTCACCCTTTTCATTCCTTATTGCATGAATTTGAGTTTTTTCTTTCCTTTTTTTTAATAAGGGTAGCTAGAGGCTTATCAGTTTATTTATTCTTTCAAAGAACCAAATCTTTGATTCATTGATTCTTTATATTTTTTTAGTCTCTATTGTATTGATTTCTGCTCTGATTTTTATAATTCCCTCTCTTCTTTTGGCTTTGGGCTTGACTTGCTCTTCTTTTTCTAGATGTTTGAGGTGTTGCATCAGGTTGTTTATTTGTGTTCGTTCTGTTTTCCTGATGTGGGAATTCACCGCAATAAATTTTCCTCTTGAGGACTGCTTTCATTGCATCCCACAGGTTCTGGTAAGTTGTATTTATATTTTCATTTGCTTGTAGATACTGTTTGATTGCTCTTTAATTTCCTCTGTGACCCACAGATTGCTCAGGAGTGTATTATTCAATTTACATGTGTTTGTGGGGTTTTTGCAGTTTCTTCTGTAATTAAATTCTAGTTTCATGATATTATGATCTGAAAACATGCATGGAATAATTTCAGTTCTTTTGCATTTACTTAAGCATGTTCTTTGGGCTATTATATGGTCTATTTTAGAGAATGTCCCATGTGCTGCTGAGAAGAATGTATATTCCGGTGTTGTTGGCTGGAACACTCTGTATACATCCACCAAGTACATTTGTTCATGGGTGTGATTCAGTTGTGTTATTTCTGTGCTGAGTTTCTGTCTAGCTGATCTGTCTCCTTGTGTCACTGGGATGGTAAGGTCTCACATTATAATTGTATTATTGCTTATTTGACTTTTCATTTCTATCATTTATTTTGTATAGCTGGTGCTCTCATATTTGGTGCATATATATTTAAGATTGTTATCTGTTGCTCTTGATGTTTTCCCCTAACTAGTATGTAGTGGCCTTCTTTATCTCTTTGGATTGTTCTTGATTTGAAGTTCACATTGTCTGCAAACAGAATGGCTAACTCTGCTTTTTTTTGGGGGGGGGCGGTGTTCCTGTTGCATGGAGAATTGTTTTCCACACTTCGACTTTCAGTCTATGAGTTTCCTTTTGGATTAGATGGTTTTCTTGTAGACAGCATATGGTTGGATAGTTTCTTGATCCATTCTGCCAATCTCTTTCTTTTAATTGGTGAAGTGAGGCCGTTTACATTAATGGTTATAAGTGAAATATAGTTGTTTATTTTTGACATGTTATCTTTCTGCTGTTGATTCTCAATCTTTCCACTCTGTTTAGTTGTTAGGCTTGTTTAGTGGTTTTTCCTATGTCTATCTAGAATGTCTTTCAGTATTCTTTGTAGGGTTGGTTTGGTGGTCATGAAGGTTTTCAGCTATTCTTTTTCATGAAAGTATTATTTGTCCATCAACTTTGAAGGATACTTTTCCAGGGTGCATCAGTCTCGGTTGGAAGTCATTTTCCTTTAGGATGTGAAATACTAACTTCTTTCTGTTCTTGACTTCATTGTTTGTGTTTAGAAGTCTGCTGTGATTCTGATAGGCTTTCCTTTATAGGTGATCTGTCTCTTCTCTCTAACAGCTTTTAATATTCTGTTCTTATGTTGGATATCTAGGATGTTGATTATTATATGTCTAGGTGTAGTTTTCTTTTGGTTATGACTATTTGGAGTTCTGTGTGCTTCACTGATCTGTATGTCAGTTTCCATTCTCATGTTTGAGAGATTCTCAGCTATTACTTCTGTAAATAGCCTCTTGATATCATTTGTGTTGTCATGTTCTTTTTCGTTTATCCCTATCTTATATTGTTTTTCTTTGCATCATCTTTCAGCTGTTGAATTGTTCTTTTCTGATTCCTTATTATTTGTAAAAGATCTTTCCTGTTTACTGGCTGCACTCTTGTTTTTGAGGTCTGAAAGTCAATCTTCACTTTCATTGAGGCAGTTTGGCCAACTTTCAATGGAATTTTTGATTTTCTGTATATCTTTTTGAATCTGTTTCATGCATTCTGTTTCTTATATTGTTCATTCAAGGTTTCCATATTTTTACATTGTTCCTCTAATTTTTTAACTATGTCTTCTTTAGATATGTTCAGCATTTCTTTCATTATATTTATCATTTCTTCTTTTACATGGAGATTATTTCTGATCTGAGTTCTTTTGTAGCCTCCTGGAGTTGTTTCCTTATGTCAGTTGCTGTCATTTCAGGAGACTCAGGTGTATGGCCTATATTTTCTTTTATGTCCATGTCTCCTAGGCGTGGTTGGGATGGGCTGGAGGTTTGAAATTGCATTTTGCTCTTTCGTTTTGTCATTGTCCTATATTCCCTTAAGGAAGCCAAATGCAAGATCTTAGTTGTTTCTTGGGTTGAGAATATCCATTCCTATTGTAGGGAGTTTCCCCAGTTTAGTGTTGGTCCTTAGACAGACCTTACCAGATGGCTCTGGCCACGTGGGATTGTGAGGTGGGGCCTTATAGATGTAAGAGCCAAGCACCAAGCTCCTGGTGGGCTGGGCTGGAGAGTGCTATGTGCACTTTCAGCTTGCCAGTGTAAGGCAGCAGCTGGGGAGTTGCTGGGTGTGGCCCACATAGGCCCAGAAGGGCCTCCTGGTGTATCCTCCTGTGGTGTGGGAGGTGAGGTGGGGTCTTACCAGTCTCCTAGGAAAGTGCCAAAGCTTCCACGGACTGGATACCGCTGCATGCACTTTCTTTCACACCAGGTGGAATGCAGGCAGCTAAGCAATCACTGGGTAGGGCTCAGAGAGGCCTGAAAAATCAGACTTTTAATGCTATATAATTCAACAATAGCAAGAGAACAGTCCTCAAGGGAGGCATGAAATGGCCATTCTCTTTTCAAGATGAATTGTCATCTCACCTCATTTTTATTGTTTTATTTATAGTATTTTGTGTGACTTTAAATAACTTATAGGTTTGTTTTTCTTTGCCATTAAGTAGTTTATCCACTTTGTACATTCTAGTCGTTCCCCCCCCCCCATTTTTGTTTGTTTGGTTTTGTTTTGGATTCTTAGTGTTTTATTTTGTTTTGTTTTTACTAGCTACATAGTTCAATCTGGCCTTAACAGTCCATGTATCCAGGCGGGTCTCAAACTGATGTTGATCCCTGGGTCAGCCTCCCAAGTGCTGGGATTACAAGCATGTGCTATCACTCCCAAACATAATTTCCCTTTTGAAAATAAAACCCCAGTCATCCCACTTTGTGTTTTCTCTGGTGAAATGAATACAGTAACTATTTCCTCCATCTCATTTTGAGAAGTAAAAATAATGTAATAGCAATACATACAGTGATTTTTTTAAAAAGCAAGGATGACTCAGGTGGTCTCATATCATTCTAATATGAAATCCCAATTTTCTACTTAGATTTTCTTGAATTTTTCTTGAATTTCATACATTTTTAAAACTTGAAAGTAAAAACAATTTAAATTAGAGGTATTCAGGAAGAACTTGAATATAGATTCTTTTTTTGATTTTCACTATTTTCCCCAAACTTTTACTGACAGGTTACCCACACCTAATTGAACAGGAGTTTTGGTTAGCCACTTACTTTTTTAGAGTCTATCCTAAGTATTTTAAATAGTTCTTATACAAATGATGGCTTTCTTTTACAGTATTTTTGATGAGTCACTAGTTTAACAGATTTGAGAACAAATATAAGCAATTAGCTCTTAGTATGCATACAGTTTTTAGTTGAAATCCGAGGAAGTCTTAAAAGTAGCTAATCAAGTATGCCAGAAGAGTTTGTAAACTTCATTTCCCTTAAAATTAGGTGCTTTGAAATGTTTTACTGTTAGGTCTGTGATCATCCCCGAAGAATTTCATGCTAATTGGTTTTTTGTATTTGTTTTAATTTCAGTGGTAGGAATGGGATCCTGGTGCTTCCACATGACTCTGAAATACGAAATGCAGGTTAGTAATGGCAAAACAAAGTTGACTAAATGCTTATTTCTCCAAATCAGTCACTGAAGATTTAAGAAAAGATTTTTTTTTTCTTAACTTTTAAGTCAGTCACAGCGATTAAGAAGCAAGGTGAGTTCTATTTAGAAAAAAAGAAATGAAAGCACTGCAGCTTTTTGATGACCCTTGTGCTGCCATATTCAATTTTAGAACAACATTGTGTATCAGTCACATTGAAGACATCTTAAAATTACCTAATCACCAAAATAACCAAAATCACATATTCTTATTCTTAGATGCTCGTATTCTTTCATGTCTCTGAGGCATACATTTCACTGGTTTAGTCTCCCTAGCTGGAAAAGTTTTAGAAGCATGTAACAGTTTTTAGTTCTTGCCCTGGCTCTAGAGAGATTATGTGTCTAGTCTTGAATTTTTGACTTTCTGGTTTATCCTAATTTAGAAACTTCTAGAACATCATTGTACAGTAGAAATAAAATCAGAGGACTATATATATATATATATATATATATAATTTAAGATTTTCTAGTAACACTTTTCAAAAAGATAAAAAGAAATAGATAAATTTTCTTCTTTCTTGAGATACTAAGGAATGAAGCTATGACCTCATGCACACTCCACCACTGAGCTATTTCCCCAGTTTTTATTAGTTCTTTAAGACAGTCTCATCTGGGCACAGTGGCTCAAGTATGCAATCCCAGTATTCTGGGAAGTTGATACAGGAGGATACCCAAGTTTGAACCCAGCCTAGGTAACTTAGCAACAGTGAAATTGTGTCTCAAAAAAAAAAAAAAAAATCAAGGGCTGGGAATGTAGCTCAGTGTGCAGGCCTTGCATTCCATCCCCAGTACCACACACACACACCCACACACACACCAGAGGTTTCACCTGTGACACACATACCTGCAATCTGAGCTACTCTGGAAGCTGGGCAATAGGACTGCAAATTTGAGGCAATTTAGCAATACTCTCATCTCAAAAAAATTTTTTTTTCATTGTTTGAGCACTACTGATAGTTCTTACACAAGTGTTAAGGATGAGATGTATGAAATACAGTCCCTGCTCTCCAGACAACATGGTACTCTCACTCAATAGGAGCTAAGAAAGTCTTCCCAAAGAAATAGAGAACTTTGACTCAACTCATCTGCAGGGTGGGTTACGGGTTCACTGACTTCATCACAGAAGAAGAATTTTCAGGATGTCTTTAATTAGAATTTAAAGAACACACTCAAGAAAATAAAGTGTGCATTAAGAGAGAGGTCCATTATAGTCTGGAATATTTATGTGTTTTTGGCCATGGAAATCGTGGAATTGGGAATCTATAGGAAGTTCAGCCTTGGTTTACTACTGGAGAAAAGTGAAGGCTGGCATAAGTTAAAAGGTAATAGCTCATTTTATTGATTAAAGGATGGGCCACTTTAGAAAGGCACAGGCAAGCCCCAGTCTGTTGTATTTTTTAATGGGTGATATAATGTGTTTTGCCTAAAAACATTCTTTGAAACTTTCAAATCCGTCTCTCTTAAGATCAGATTTCTGTCTTCATCAACTTAGCTGATTTGTAGACTTGGAGTATCTCTGAAGGATTTTGGATGTGATGGGCCTGGAAGAAAAAAAGCATAAATAAGCCTATGCAGTACAAATGTGGGTCACCTTAGGTAACTCTGATTGTGTCCTGAATTTGTGGTCTTCTTAAAAGTACAATTTTTAAACTGTGAGCTCCCTTGTCTCTTTCCTCCTATCTTTATTTTTTTTTAATCCTACCTCAGTACAAAGTTTTTAAAACTCTCTATACTACCTATAGTTCAGGCTCATAAATTGAGTTACAAGTTTTGTGACCTGGCCCCTACTTTCTTCTCTGGAATTATCTTCAGATACATATCCCATCTCTGCTCTTTTACTAGTCATAATATTCTTTGCACATATCCTCAGTTCAATTTAGTCTTTTGTGGGGGGCGGAGGTTCAAGGATGGAACTTACAACCTTGCACTTGTCAGGCACTTTGTGCTGCTGAGCTATATCCCTAGCCCCTCAATTTAGTCTTTTAAACAAATAAGCCACCAACATTCTCATCAGTAAAACACATTGCCATTAATCCCTCTCAAAATATCTTCCCATCATTCTTGCACACTTATCCCATCATTCTTGCAACTTTGTGAAGCAGTTCTAGAAGTGGTTTTTCATGGGATCTTACATGTCTTATACGTCTTACACTGTCATTGCTATCTCAATGTCTTAAATTGATTCAGAATGTTTACCTTTCATGGTAATTTTGATTTTAAGGAAGAGCCAGAAATCACACAGTGCCAGATCCAGTGAATAAGGGGGATGAGAATACCACACATTTTAACCACAGTGTTTTTAAAAACCTGCCTCTCTTTTGGGTGGCACTGAACAGCAGCATTTGCCATATCACATCTTGTGAAAATACTCATGAAAGATGACTCCCAGGACTACTTCAGAAAATAGCAAGAATGATGGAACAAGAGTGTTCAAAACAAGTGGGAATATTTTGAGAAAGACTAATGGCATTATGTCCTTCACTGTAGTAAATTTTTTGAAGTTTAAAATTTACATATATTTTGACCACCTTTTGTATATGCATAATAGAAGGTCTACAAAAATGAGCCCTTTAGGCACCTTGGTAAATTCTGGAAATACTGGATAGCTATACTAATACTTGCTAACACATGAAAACTGAAATAAAGAAGACAAAAATACAAAGGAATTTAAGTAAAGCCAGTAGATTCTGTTCCAATAGTTAAGTAAATTCTGCCTATCATAAGACTTGCAGTTGATTCAGCTCAAGCATTTTTTTAACGTCTAAAGTGATTCAAGTAAAAAGTTTTTAAGTTCACATAGCATAGAGATATGCTGTAGATTAGTTCAAAATCTGGCTCTGCAAATTATTACCTCTTTGTACTGTTCATTTTGAAATGCAAATGATAACATCTTAGAATTATGAAAATTAAGTTTCATAACGACAAAAGCACTTAACCAGAATACCATACACAGATGCTATTATTTTCACTATTCTAATAACTTATCAGCATAATTTTTTACTTTACATAATCTACTTACTTACTGTAACGCCTTTTTCTCACTGTTTAATTTCAAACCATTTCTCTTCTAGTTTCTCCTTACTCCTTTTAGAATCATTACTCTGTGTCTAATCAGATGTTTTTCATTACCCTTACCTTTTTAATCTGTGAATTCCTTGAGGACAGTTACTGTACCTTATTTATCATTGTATCCTCAGCTTCTGACACATTGCCTGGCACATAGTAGATATATTATTAAAGAATTAATTGTGTATCTAGTGATAAATAAACTCAATAAGATTGACTTAAAGATTAGAAATAATAGGCCAGGCATGTTAACACACACTTACAGTCCCAGCACTTGGTGGGGCCAGAGCAGGAGGATGACCATGAGTTTGAGGCCATCCTGGGCTAAATAGTGAGTTGAAGGCCAGATTGAAGTACTTAGCAAGACCCTGTCTCAAAAAAAAGATAGGGGGATTGGAAATAACCTGTCTATAACACCTACCTTAATGTCTAGTATGCAGTTTAATAAGTAATGGCCATAATTACTACTATTCTGCTAATAATAATATCATTTTTTAGAGACATAGAATCATTTGAATTAGTAAAATTATTTCCTTGGCCTTTAATACATCTTTTTATTTATGTTAGTGGATAGTTTATCCACTGGAGGTGTTGAAGAACAAAAAGAAATGCAAAAGCATACTGATGAGACCTAGAGACATGACAATAATGAAATCGTTCTTTCCTAGAAGTATAGTATAATTGTGATACTGAATGATGGCTACACATGGCTATCTTCTGCAATGAGCTGGTCATGCCTACTTGGTATGTATATTAGGATAGATGGATGAATAATCTGTTCAAATGCAACAAACTACAAACTCAAGGATTAAATTAAATGATGATAAATATATAAGAAAATAAGAGATGACAATCTTGGGGAGGGGGGCTGGGGATTGAGCCCAGGGCTTTGTATATGCTAAGCATATACTGTACCACTGAGCTATATTCCCTACCCCAAGAGATGATGATTGTAATCATTCTGATGTTTGATTTTTATTTGTATTATAATTGCAGCTCCATCATGTTCAAGTCTATTATGTCTTTGTTTCATATAGCTATTGGATGAACTCCCAATGATTTACAGCTGTTGCATATTTGTGTACTGCATGTAAGTATTAACATTTACATTTTATTTGATGTATTTTAAATTCCTATGTGCCTTGTAGATTAGCAAATGTAACCTAGTTATAAGAAATTGAGATGATGTAGATTATAAATTTTATATCAGTGAAGAACATGGGACTTTGAGGAGTTACACATTAACTTCAATGATGTCAAAGTCTAGTAACAAATTTAGGTAAGATCTTAATTTGATTTAAATTGCACAACTTGCCTTTCTTTAAAGAATATGTACAAATTTAGATATTTTATTTATTATGCCATAAAAACTTATCTATTATATCATTTTAATCTTCTCTTTGCCTCACAGCTATCTGTTAAATAGGTATTTGTGTCCTTTCAATTCTGAAGCATAATAAATGCTGCAACTCTGAAACATAATAAATGCTGCAAAAAAAATCCTTGTTTTGATTAGCTATTTAGAAACATGGAAAAGAGCAATGAAAAGCTTACAACCATTACCAATCCAAAATCTGATCATATTTCAGTATTGAGTTAATTTGTATTTTCTGGATGCCAAGAAAAATAATCAGTCTTGAAATACAAAAGTGATTAAGATAAGAACATTATTAAGTGCTGATACTTATCTACTATACTATGCTAGACAGTATACCATACTGTGTTAGTCACTTTCCCCTTGCAGGAACAAAATATCTGACACCTGAAACTTAAATGAGACATTTATTTTGGGACACGTTTCAGAGGATTCAGTCTGTGGTTCGACAGCAAGATACAAATGGTATGACAGAGAAAAGCTGCTCAACCCATGGCAACCAAGAAGTAGAGGGAGGAGGGAGGAGCTGAGAAAAGAATATACCCTTCCAAGTCACACACCCAGTGACCCACCTGTCCTGACCAGGCCGCACCTCTTCACAGCACAGTCAGCTATCAACGCATCAATGGACTCATCCACTGATGATTCTAGTGCCCACATGATACAGTCACCTTCCAAAAGTCCCATATCTGAGTATTTAAGACTTTGGGGGGACATTTTAGATCCAAACCATCATATGAGTCTCCCTAATTCTCAGCAAATAAGTGGTTTCGTCCTCATTTTGTAAACAATAAAGTGAAACAGAGAGATAAAGTAACTTTTGTAAGGATGTAAAAAAAATTTGATTAAGAAGCATGCCAACCAGGCCACTATGGGGTAAACAATCTCTAAAGGACACTACAATATCCTTGGAATATATCACGATTGAGAAAACTACAGTGGTCAGAATCTCCAGGAGAGATTACAAAAATTTTTTGATTGGCACAAAAGAATGGTGGATATGTGGAAAGGGGGACCCTTCCATAGTGCATGTTTAAATAACAACATATAGCCGGGGATATAGCTGAGCAGCACAGGCACCTTCATGGCAAGCATAAGGTCATGAGTTCAATCCCCCAGTACAAAAAACAAAACAAAAAAACCAAACTTAAACAAATAAATAACATGTAATCATTAACTGTGCCTCCTAAGGAGACTGAAAGAGGTTACCATCTCTTTAGTTTTGCTAAATTAAGGTATGCAAGTTTGGGCTTCACTTGATTCCTGGGTACATTAAAGATGTTTGCCCTGCAACATTCAGTCCCTCTAGATGTTAAATATGTAAAGAGTATGAAAGTCATCTTTCATGATTACCTTTTCTCATCAAACTATGCCCAAAAAATGCCAAATGCTGTTGCTGAATGCCATCCAACCGAAAGGCAGGCTCTTAAAAACATAGTACTTTCACCTACCTTGTCTGACATTATGGACTTCTACTCTTTCCCAAAATCAAGATGACTGTGAAAGGTAAGTTTTCAATACATTCAGGACATCAAAGCAGCCATAACAGCACAGCTAAATGCATGAAAGTGGACTTCCAAAACTACTTCAGAAAGTGGCAACAGTGATGGCACTCAAAGCAAGGGGGAATGTTTTGAAGGGGAATAATGGCTGTGTGTCTTTTACTATAATAGTTTTTAAACTTAAAAATTTGCTGTATTTTTCTATCATACCTCAAAAATGATGTCAGCAAACTCTTAGGAAGGTATAAGGTTTTACTTAGAAAGTAAGGATAGTTAACTAGGTGTGAGAGCACACGCCTATAATCCCAGTACTTGGAAGGCTGAGGCAGGTGGGTTGAAGTAAGTTCAAGCTCAGCCTAAAGTACATGGTGAGATCCTGTCTCCAAAAAACAAAACAAACAAAAAAAGAAAAGAAAGAAAGGAAGGATCTTTAGTTCAGTGTCTAATTCTGACACTAACTGCATGACCCTAGTAAGTCACTTAATGTTTCCATTTTTCATTTGTAAAAAGGAAGAGCATAGTATCATTGAAAAGGGTTTGAGGAAGTCTCTCTAAAAAGGAGTTAAGAATCTAAACTCAGCACAGACAAGTTCTTTCCTTACTATTACAGAAGAGAATTTTAGGATGTGTCAGTGAGAGACACAGGTTGATTTATTAAGCAGAGTTGGAAAACAAGAGAAAATGAAGAAGGCACTTTGCCCTAAGGAGATCAGTAAGGCACAGCTATGATAGAGAAGATCAGACTTAGTAGTTTTCTATTTCCTTTCAAGCCATAAACTCATAACTTGAAGATAAAAGCATGTATCTCACCTAACATTTCATCATGTTCTAAGCCATAATGTCACAGAATTTAAAAGTAAGGGAATTTTAAAATTAGGTAACTAGGTTCTTTACAATTAAGGAAATATAGGCATATCCAAGTCCCACAACCCTAGTGAACTGTAAAATATTCCTGTTACCTGTACCAAGACATAGTCCTCAAAAGTTGGGTACTTACAAATGGCCAATTATTTGTTCATAGTTTCTTATTTACTGTCTCCTGTGCATCGGGCACTGTCCTAATGACTAGATAAATGAAAAACTAGATTATATCCCTGCACACAGGACATCATAATACATGTATACCCATGTTCATAGCAGCATAATACATAATACACAGTAGCTAAATACACCTCAATAGAACAGGGAAGGGAGCTTCTTTCTCCCTCCCTCTTTTCTTTATTCCTTCCTCTCCACTTAGCTTTGCGTCTTTATATTTACATTATTCTTCTCTCTGCAGATTACTTCTCTGATCACTTATCCATTTGATTCTTCAGTTTGGTTGCCCACTAATAACAGCCTCAGATCTTGAACCTATCTGATTTATAATTCTATACTTAATTGATTTATTGTATGGCTCTCAAACTCCAGACTTTAAAAGAGAGCCTCTCATTATCCCAGATTAAGGCAGGTGTCTTATTACTAGTCCCTCCACAATTTTGAGGACTATAGGCAGTGCAAGGTTTCTGAGATGAGAACATGGATAAGAAGAAATAATGGGTATTACTAGCGTGCAGAAACATATGGGCAACTGATAAAGCAGTATTCTGTGTATGTTCCTAGTTATATATTCTAAAGAAAGTTTCTTTCTCCTTTTTTAAGGTTTGAATGCTTCAAGACAAAGAGCTCAGTAAACTACCATCTGCTTTTTATCTTAGTTCTATTCAGTTTAATAGTAACCACAGTAAGTCATATTTTGTCTATAATAGATTGAGCATGTGAATTTGACATTTATGAAATTTGGCACAATTTGCTTCCTGTATTTGCTTCAAGCTGTTCAAATTGAAATGTTTCCGTGTACAACTGGAATATCTCATTTTTAGAGATTGTTGCTTTGTTTCCATTTCAAGTGTTATGTTCTCTACAGTCAAAATAACAATGATAACAAAATAACAAAATAACAAAATGATAAGGTTGAAAAACAAACATTTAGTTAGCAGCAAAAAAAAACCTAACTTTTCTCATGAATGTGCATGCTATATCCTATTTGTTAAAAACAGAGATTGGCTTTGCTCTATTGGGCCTAGCATGACTATTTTAATGATTAACCCTTTGCTAATACATTGTGGTAGCTAATCACTTTCGTTCCAACTCTAGTGCTTTTTCCTTCAAATGAATTGCATTTTGTATTACGAAAATATTTATTTCAATAAATGGTTATTAAAAACCTACATGTCAGGCACAAGAAATAATACAAAGATAATTAAAAAGCCGTTGCTACTCATGAGGAATTCATTGTTAGAAAAGTTAGACAGTACACAGTGAATTACATCAAAAGATAATTGCAAAGCTGGACATGGTAACGCACATCTGTAATCCCAGCATTTGGGAGGCTGAGACAGGAGGGTTGTTGTAGGTTTGAAGCCACCCTGGGCTACATAGTGAGACCCTGTCTCAAAAAAAATAAATAAATAAAAAAGGATAATTGCAATAATAGAAATGAAAGCTATATGATAAAGAGATAGTGTGGAGCCAATCAAGACTGCTTGAACAGGCTCGATACTTTATAAATGACTTGCATCTTTATTTATCAAAGTAAATATTTTTAAAGAAAGCTTTAGAAAGGAAAAACTTTAATGAGATTTTAATTGATGATTAAGAGTTTTTCAGGCCCCCGAAACATCTGAATAGTCATTTATATATTCAGAGGCATAAAACTTTGGAAGAACCATAGTGAATTATGTTTTTGTTTACTTACTGTGTGCCAGATACTGTACTGAGCACTTTAAATTTATTGTTCCATTAAATCACCATCTCTGGTGGAATTGGGAAAGGTTTAATACTGATTAAGTATATGATAAGTGGGAGCAATCTTAAGAGATGGTGGAATTAGAGTAAAAAGAGGTTGTCTAGAATGGTTGCCCAGTTTATGGCCCAGCTGTCAGCATACACAGTATATCCTTAACCAAAATAAAAACTTCGAAGATGAGCAGTTTTTCAGGAAAGATAATGAGTAGGTCTGTCACCCATGGCATAGGGGTGAGTACATTCAGTTTAGAATGTGTTGAGTTTGAGATACCCAGCAATAATAACACTGGAGGCTAACAGGCTTGGCTAGGCTAATGATGTCAATTTGGGAGTTAGCAAAATGTACGTAGTACTCGAATATGCGGACAGATGAACTGACACAGAAATAGTGTAGACCGTTAATATGACTAAAGTTACAATTATATAGAATGCAGCTATTTGACGTAGAGATGGAAGAAATAGAGCAAGCAAAGGAGGCTGAGCACAAGCAGTCAAATTAGGAAGCAAAGACAGCCTGATATCAAAGAACAAAACTAACCAAACAAAAAACCTCTAGTAAGTTACCAGTATTACTGGTATTACTTGTCTCTCAATGAATTAAGTATAGTGAAGACTGAGAACTAACAGAAATGTTCAGTTAGAAGGCCAGTAATTTTAATGAGAATATTGTTAACAGTAAGCTGATGAAAGCAGAATCTAGATCTCAACTAGTTAACATATAACACTGAAAGAGTATTATACTCTACTGTATTTTCTTGAATTTCTGTATTCCTTTTTTTAACTGCATACTGATTAATAATGAAGGAATCCTTAAAAGCATCAGAAGAGAGAGCAGTTTTGTAGTCTATTTTTTTAAAAAGAGAATATTTTAAAAAGAGTATTAGTGACTTATCTGGCCTGCCAGGTTTAGAAAGAGTAGTGACAAAGTCAAGATTAGCCCCCTTTGTAAATTAGAGATAATAGTTAGAAGCAGGCTTTGAAATCAGTCAGATAGAAGTTTTAACACTGTTACTTAGTAACTAGAGCCTTGGACAGTTTACTTATTTGTAAAATGAAGATAATAATAGTATAAGTTTCGTATTAATTGGGAAAATCAATAGTTGGCACATGGGGGGACTCCATAATTCTTTGTCTTGAAGAGGCATGCCCCCACTTCATTCACATGTGTTTCTTCTAATATTAGTATTTTGAAATAAAGAATTCAGAGAGTAGAAGCATTCTCTTTTACTGAGTTTACTAAGTTTAGAGTTTTTGAAAGGAAATAATCTGATGTTTTTGTACAGAAAACTTAGTCCAGAAATAAACTTTGTAACCAAGTGTTAAAATTATAGAAAACTTTGTTAGATCACTATATTAAATGGAATATATAGCTATATAAGCTCATTCCTTGCTAGCAAAGGAATAATAACTTTGTCGACGAGATAAACAAACTAATACCGAAAAGTTTACACATACACAGTAATGGTAGGAAAGAAACTGAATGGTTATTTACAGTGTAGAGAGAAGGGATCAGAAAAGGCTTCAAGAAAGAGGTATACTTAGAATTGAATCTTAAAATACAAGTATTTCCCAGTGATGTAGAATTTCTGAGCAAAGTAAAGAGCAGCATATTTAAAAATATAGAAGTATGAAACTTAATTGCCCATATGACATTGAAGCATAAAGCCAGGGCGTGTGTATGTGAGATGCATTTAGGTAAGTACCTGAGGTGCATCTGTGTGCTAAACACGTTCATGTATTTTAGCATATCATGCCTCACTACTGTTATTCTTCATTATCCAGATAAGGAAAAATGAGTCTTGTTCAATGCATGTTGCATTTAAGTGGCACGTATGAAAACTGGCTGCTTAACTCTAAGCCCAGTGTTCCTGCTACTGTAGAACAGATCTGGGACAGAGACTGTCAACATCTTTGCCCCACATTAGTATCCATGCCTCTTGTCCTTCTTTGATATGATAAAAAAAAAAAACCAAGGAGATCAAAGTAGTCAACAACAGATTTGAAATATTTTGTTTATCATGGCAAAACTAACACTGCCTAAGAGCCACCCGTACTGGCCTTCTTGTGGCATGCATCTAATCTGGTTGGTTTTTATGTGACTAGAGTCAGTCCAAGTGGGATGAGTGGAAAGGAAAGATTTAGAATTTACAGAGTAGTTAGAATGTCCCTCACAATAATGCACTTCATTCATATGCATTTTTTCTAATATCTTACAGGTTTATCTTAAGGTAAAAGAGCCTGTGTTCCATCAGGTAATGTTTTTTAATTATCATCCATTTGTTTGTCAGTACATTACTGCTTTGTGTTTTCTTTTCTCAAGCAATTGTGTGCACACACAATTTTGAATATGTCTCAAGAAAATAGTTAAGTATTTAAAACAGCCACATTGCAGCCAGGTGTGATGGTGCATGTCTTTAATCTTTAGAGTCTGAGGCAAGAGGTTTGCAAATTGAAGTCCCGTCTGGGCAATTTAGCAAGACCCTGTCCAAAAATAAGAATGGTTGGGGATGTGTATAACTCAGTGCAAAAGACCAGTGTTCAGTCCCTAGCACCATAAATGAACAAACAAGTAAACAAACAGAGGTTCTGAGCTGGGAGTAGAATGTAGCTCAGAGATCAGAGTGCTTGCCTAGCATGCACAAAGCCCTGAGTTCAGTCTTCTAATACTGAAAAAAATAGGGAAGAAAACAAAACAAACCCAGAGATTGAAAACTCTATGACATGCAAAAGAGGTCACAAACCTGACTTTTATGTTGTTTGATTGACTTTGCAAGCCTGGGGCCAGTAATCTAAGCAACTATTTAGATCATAACAATATGCAATATAGTAACAATTGTGGATTTCCTACTGACCTATCACTATTTTGTTTTGTTTCATTTTCCTGTTCTATTTCCTTAAAATAAAATAAAATCAATGAATGAATGATGCTGCAAAGGTGCCTATAGAAGCCAGGTATAGCAACAAACCTGGAATAGCCAATGGCCAAGTCCAGCTGGCTGTTAATACATAGTGATTCAGATCCAACACTGCTCTTACAAGCAGAAAAAAAGTGAACATCATGTATACACATATGTGAAGTCTTTTTGTAATATTACAGTTTAGAAAAGACAAACTGAAAAATCCGTGAATTTCCCCCTTTAATTTATTTTAATATAATTTTGGCATTTTTTTTCTTTTTTTGAGACAGAATCTCAAAAATTTATTGAAATAAATTAAAGGGGAAATATTCAAGGATTTTTCAGTTTTTCCAGGCTACAATATAACTTACACTGGCATCAGACTCACAGTTCTGTTTCCAAGTGCTGGGATTGCAAGTCTATGCTTTTACCTAAATTTTTTGATGTGCTAAGTTACTTAGTTTGAAGGAAGAAAACACAAGAAACTTTGCTATAGATAGGAAATAATGATTTAGGTATATGACATTATGAAACCAAAGTTGCAGACTTTAAATAAAGAGAGTTTTTATTTATTAAGTGTAACTTTGTGCCTGGTACTGTGTTCATTACTACCCAAACTTCTGATCTCATCAACAATCCTACAAATTAGAAATTATTACGCATATTTTAAGGGACATGAACTGACATATATTAAGTAAGTTGCCCCTGGATGACAGTAAGGAGCAGAGTCAAGATTGTAACCTAGATTTATTTGTCTGATTTGTGTCTTCATTCTTTGAACAAACTAGCTAACATAAATACATTAAAAAGCACACTTTTAAGGAGTGTCAGAGGCCTGTAGTTTTAAGATACTGTGTGCTTATATAAAAAAGTACTCCTGTAACTTTTTAAACTCAAGCTATAGAGTAATCATCTAAGTGAAAACTGGTAAAACAAATTCCATGACATCACTGTTGGACATTGCTTTGCTCCAGGCCAGCTGGAAGCAGGTGTGCTAAAGTAATGCTGTATAGAAAAAGACATCATGACCTTTTTGTTTACTATAATTTGAAATCATGTCATTATTATGCCTTTACTTAAATTTATTTACACAGTGAAAAAAATGAAGTCGAGTTACATGAAGAATCGTTAGGTTTTACAAATTTCTCCTTTGCATTTATAAGGGAGAAAAATCTTAACCATGAAACAAATAAAATTTGGAATTGTGGGTTAATTTTTATATAAATTTATGACCATAAGGTTTCCATTTTGTGTTTTAGACCTATTTGATACTGTAGAAAATAACAAAGTATTAATAGACAAATAACAAAGTATTAAAATCTGCTACTGCAATATACAAATGTTTTTCCAGTAACAAATATTTTTTTCTCTATATATGGCAATAATATTTACTGATAAAGAAGGAAAGAAAGATGAAAATTTGGTCTATTCACACCCACTGTGGTTCATAAACATGATCAATTCATACTTAAGTGCCTGGATTCAGGGATTTGTTTGTTGGGGTTCAGAGCTTGGATTTGTCATATCTTATGTGAACCTAAATAAGTTATTTAATCCTCTATGCCTCCATATCCTTACCTATAAGATGAAGATCAGACTATAGCTCAGCGGCACAGCACCTTCCTGGCAAGCATGTGGTCCTGACAATTCCTGATACCAAAAAGGAAAGACAAAAAAACATGGGGATCAATAATAGTACTTCATAGGATTATAGAATTAAATGAGACTGTGTATATAATGTGCTTGTCACACTGCAGAATTTGTAGTAAAGATACTAACTTACTAGTACATAAGCCAAGAAGAGATACAATCAGCTCTGTGTATTAGAAATTTGTAGTTCTAGCAGATGAAGGATGAATTAGAGTATTATAATCAGGAAAAGACAACATCTGGTATTTATTTAAACACTGCTTTTGTGTCAGATAACTAGTCGGGTTTAAACCTAGAAAGAAAATAAAAATAATACAGTACATGGCTTGCTGCCCATTGTATTTATATTTTCGGTTTACTTGTAGGGTTAGGGTTTTTTGAAGTAAAATGTTGGGAAAATTAGTTTTTTAAAAAAGGGGGAAAAAGCAGTCAACAATTACAATTTTACCATGACAATTAGCAGACCATAGTGCAATGAAACTAGAAATCAATAGCAAAAGAGAAACCAAATCCAAATATATGGAAATTAAACAACACAGTCTTGAATAATCATGAGTCAGAGAGGAAATTAAGGAGAAATAAGACAGTTCCGAGAATTAAATGATACAGCACAATATACCAGAGTTTATGGGACACAGTGAAAGCAGTGTTACAAAGGAAGTTTATAGCAATGAACTGCCACATCAGAAAATCCAAACAACCCCAAATAATCTAATAGTACATATTACAGTTTTAGAAAACCAAAAACAGTCCAAAACCCAGAGTTTAGTGGGTCATGGTAGCTCACACCTGTAATCCCAGCACTTGGGTGGCTGAGGCAGGAGGATCACTGTGAGTTCGAGACCCGACTGGGCTATAAAGTGAGCTTCAAGGCAAGCCCAAATGTATAATGAGACCCTATCTCAAAAAAACAAAAAGAAACCTCCCCCCCCCAAAAAAAACAGAACTTGTTCAAGGAAGGAAATTAGAAAGATAAGGAGCAGAAATTAATGAAATAGAGACTGAAAAACAATACAAAGAATCAATGAATTGGAGAACTGGTTTTTTAAAGAATAAATAAAATAGCTAGTCACAGTCCTGCCCCTGCATGCACACCAGCTGCCATCAGGACGCTTCCTGCCAGTTACCAGCTGGGAGAACAGCCAGCTGTACCTCAGAGAAACTGTAACCAACACAGGAAGTGCCTAGGACTCCACTACCTGCTCTGCTTATATGGCAGAACTCAGGAAAATGTCAAGACACAGAAGCAAAAGGCAGTCTTTGGCCTCCAACCCATGCAGAGCAAGTGTAGAAGATACAAACATGGAAAAGAGATTGGAAGTTGCACCCCTAAAGTTTCTGAAGTGATGGCAACTGAAGTAAAGAAACAACTTCATGAGAATATGAAAGAAATTAGATCAGAAATACTTTTTCATATAAAAGAAGAAATGAAAACCATAATAATTGCTGAGCATATCTAAAGAATACATAAACAGAGGAGCATAGGAAAATGAGGGAAACCTTGTATGAAAAATATAAAAAAGATTTGGAATGCATGCATGAAACAGATACAGAGAGATATCCAGGAAATTAAAAACTCCATTGAAAGCTGGCAAAACTGCTTGAAAGAGATTGAAGATGGACTTTCAAACCTTGAAGACCGGATTGCAGCTAGCAATTGTGAAAGAAACTTAAAAATAACAAAAAAACAGGAAATAACAATTCATCAGCTGCAAGACTATGCAAAGAGAAATAAGAGTGATAGGTGATAGGTCACATGGGTGAACATTATGTTTGTCTCCCTAAAATAAAAAACTGAAGGAGTTAGTGGGATCCAAAATATACTACTAGATATTGTGAAAGTGAAAGAAAAGGAAATGTCTAAAGAGGGAAAGTGATAGCCATCGTTAATTTCCTTTTATCTTGTTTTGAAGCCCTATATCATTTTCATTATTCTATTTTGTTTGATTTTATTCTGTTTTGATTTTATTATATCTGATGCTATGGGCAGCTATTTGAAAGATAACATATATTATGGTAACCATTGTTGATTTCCTATTATCTTGTTTTGGAGCCCTGTATTGCTTTCATTGTTTTGTTTTGATTGATTTTATACTGTTTTGTTTGATTTTATTATGTCTGATGGATGGTATAGGCAGCTACTTTGAAGATAATGAGGCATTATTTTGGCCATTGTTGATACCCTGTAACCTTGTTTTGAAGCCCTGTGTCACGTTCACTGCTTCCTTTTGATTGACTATTCCTGTTCATGTTGTTTAGTTTTCTTCTCTTCAAAATAAAAAATAATAATAATAAAAACAAAATAGCCAATCTTACCCAAAAAAGGAAGGAAAAGACACGAATATATACAATTAGAAATAAAAAACATAAAATCACAACAGACACTGCCAAAATACAGAAAATTATTAGTAACTACTTCACAAACATATATGCCAAACAACTGGAGAACTCAGAAAAAATGAAGAGTTCCTAGGCACATGAATTGCTAAAACTAAACCAAGAAGACTTTAAAATCTTTAACAGTGAAATTGAAGCAAGAATAATAATTTTTTTTAGAAAACTTAACAACTAAGAAAAGCCCAAGACCTGAATAATTCATGCCCAAATTCTGCATGAACTTTAGGAAGGACCTAACCCATGCTGCTCAAACTTTTAATGAAATTGATAGGGAAGGAATACTTCTAAAATCATTCTCAGAAGCTAACATTATCCTGATCGCAAAAGTAGACAAAGACCCAGCCAAAAAAGAGAACTATAGCCCAATTTCTCTAATCAACATAGATTCAAAAGTCCTTAAGAAGATATTGGCAAATAGAATACAGCAAATTATCCAAAAAATGATATACCATGACCAAGCAGGTTCATCCCAGGGATGCAAAAATAGTTCAACACATGCAAATCAGTAAATGTAATGCATCACATAAGTAGAAACAAGGACAAAAATCACATGATCACCTCAGTACATGCAGAGAAAGCCCTGGGCAGAATCCAACATCCATTTGTGATAATAATAATTTTTTTGAAAAAACCTGAAGAAAACAAGTAGAAAACTGGGCATGGTGGTGCACACCTGTTATCCCAGCTGTTGGGAGACTGGGGCAGTCGGATCATTGTGAGATCGAGGCCAACCTGGGCTACATAAGAAAAGAAAGAAAATAAGTATAGGAGGTCCTTATCTCAATATAATGAAAGTCTTTTATGACTTACCTCCTGCCAACATCATATTTAATGGAAATAAGTTGAAAGCCTTCCAAAATCAGAAACAAGACAAGGATGTCCTTTACTAGCACTTCCTGTTCAACATAGTCTTCACAATAGCCAGAGCAAGAGAAAGCAATAAAAGGAATACTTATAGGAAAGTAAAACTCAAAGAATCATTATTTGAAGGCAACATGATCCTTTATGTGTAAGACCCAAAAAAGTCCACTGAGAAAGACTCCTAAAATTGATAGTCAGATCCGGCCTTGTAGCAGGATACAAAATAAACACAAAAATTGCATTCCTGTACTCTAATAATGAACTCATTGCAAAAGAAATTAGGAAAACTACCATTCACACAATAGCATACAAAAAGTAAATACTTAGCTATTAACCTAAGGAAGTAAAAGATCTATACAATGAAAATTACATCAGACTAAAAAAGGAAGTCAAGGAATGCATCAGAAAATGGAGGACTATTTCCTGCTGCCGGTAATTGCTAAAACTAAACCAAGAAGACTTTAAAATCTTTAACAGTGAAATTGAAGCAAGAATAATAATTTCCAAAACTGAGATACAAATTTAATGCATTTCCAAAATCAAAATAGCTATATTTCCAAAACTGAGATACAAATTTAATGCATTTCCAAGCAGAATACCAACATAACTTTTCAGAGCTAGAGCAAATAATTCTAAAATTTATATGAAATGAGAAGAGACCTAGAATAACAAAAGTAATCCTAGGAAGCAAAAGCAAAGCAGGTGGTATCATAATGCCAGACTTGAAGTTAAAGTGATTAAAACAGCATGGTACTGGCACAAAAACAGGCATATGTATCTGTGGAACAGAATGGAAGAAGCAAAAATGACTCCAGGCACATGCAGCTACCTGATCTTCAACAAAGTAGCCAAAACATACACTAGAGGAAAGATAGATTGTTTAGTAAAGAGTGCTGGGAAAATGGATATCCACTTACAGAAAATTGAGTCTAAGACATATGTATCTCACCATGTACTAAACTAAAATAAAACTGGATCAAAGATCAAAATCTTAAAACAGGAGCACTTAATCTGCCAAAGGCTAAAATACGTAAAACTCTTGAAGACAGAAGGTATAGGCAACAGAATACTACCGGCACAAGAAATAATACCAAGAACCAACAAATGGGATGATCAAATTTAAAAATTTTTGTTCAGCAAAGGAAACAACCAACAGAGTAAAGAGACAATCTACAGAATGGGAAAAAACTGTTGCCAGCTATCCCACAGGTAGAAGACTAACATCAAAATTAAAGAACTCAAAATTTTAAGACAAAATAGAAAATAGATAGATAAGAAGTAGGGAGAAATTCAAGTACTTCCCAAATTACAAATTCTGTTTTAAAAATATTTCAATATATATACTACTTGGTTTCATTTATACTACTAGTTTATCTTAGTTTATCAAAAACAATATTTTATGTTGTCTTTTTTCATAAGTATCTTTTTTATGTCTTATACTCTGAATAACTATATTTAAGTTAAAGATACATGGTATAATAATTATTGCTATTCTCTTGGTTATGAAATTTTTTCATAACTTAAAAATAGTCAATTACAAATAAATGCTCACATTTTTATCAAGAGAGAAGCTTGACATACTTTGAAATTATTTATTGGATATTTATATGTTAAAATTTCTTCATGACATGGGCATGATGATAATCTCAGCTGCTCAGGAGGTTGAGGCAAGAGGATCACAAGTTTAGGGCTAGCCTGGGCAATTTAAGAAGACCCCATTTTAACAAGAGCTGGGGATAAAC